TTGTTTTTTCTTTCTTTATCTTTATTAAAAACTAACAAGGATGTATTACTTAAAAACAAAATCAGATATAATTTATTTTTTTATTGATGACTGGTATTTTTTCTTTACAAGATATCAATGGATAAGAAGGTTCTTGTAATATTAATATTTCTGGAACTTGCTTTGCATTGTCATTGATAACAAACATATTCTTTTCGTCTTGAAACTCTAAGTGCTGAAACTTCTTTTCTTCATTTTCTAAAGGCAATAAATTTAATTCTACTAGTTCTTCTTTATTTTCAATAACAACATTGTCATGGAACCTTATTGGTACTGAGTCAGTTTCTTTTTTATTTGCAGTTAAATTACTAAGGTTGATTTTTATTTTTTCTATTCCATTTTGAAATTTTTTTTCATCTTTTTCTTCATTAGTAAATATTGGTGGTTTTAGTTGTGCCAATTCTATTAGAGTATTTTCTTTGCTAAGGTTGTTTAGTCCATCATCAATCCCAGTTACATCTTTTTCATTAGAAAGAATACATTCTGTGTGTAAGGTATTTTCTTCAAGAACTTCTTCAATTTCTTTTTTATTTGGATCTTTCTTTCGTTTTCCATTATTTTTTCTATTGTAACTTCTTCTTTTTCTTTTCTCATGAATAAAGATTTCGTCTGTGTCTTCATTAATTTTTGGTACTTCTGTCTTCTTTTTTTGAGGTTTTTCTTTTTTACGTTTATTCTTTTGTTTTGGTTGTTCTTTTTCTTTAACTGTTTCTATTAAAACTTCTTCTGTTTCACTTGCAACTTCTGTAATTGTATCATCATCAACATCCTTTTCATTTTTATCTTCATTTTCTTTTGTAAAATTGTCTTTCCTATCTGATTGAACATTTGAGGTGGTTGGAAATATATGTTTAGGTTGACTAGTAAGTAATTCTCCTAAAAATGTGAGTGAGTTTTTATTTTTAAGTTTTGAAGGAATATATTTAAAAATAAAAACTATATAATTGTATTAAGATACAATATCATTTTCCAATTATTAACCAAGAAAAGATGGTTAAAATAAAAGAGAGTAAGTCATAGACAAAATTCAAATAACAAACTTTGTGTTAATTTGGGCAATTCAGGTGTAATTCCTAATCTATCATTTACTGATGGTAATGGTTGAATAAAAAAGTCAATTGGTTGATATTCTTGTTGTTCAAATAATGAAGGGAGTGGATATCCACAACACTTTGGAATAATATCTAAATAAGACATTTGTTTTGTTAATAAATACCTTTCTTGTTGCATCATATTATATCTTTCTTGTTCTCTTCTCAATTGCAAAGACTGTTCATAAAATCCTTCTGCACTTGTTGAATATCTGTTAGAGAAGGGCTTTGCAAATGGATGAGGAGGTAATTTTCCTTTTCCTGTTTCCATTACAAATTTCTAGTTCTCAATCCAATTTTTGAACCTCAAATATTTTAATAAAAATAATCTCTGTTTTGACTTTTCATTCTAACAAAAACGAAAGAAAGGAATAATGAAGTCCTATTTAATTGAAACAATATTTTATTTAAATATCACGAAAAGACTGTTGTGTAGCAAAAAACAAATCAAAACTTAGTGATAAGGAATCTTCTATGTACTTTTTATTTAATTCATACCTCTTTATTAATTTATTGAAATATTCAGAAGAAAGTGGGGTTTGACATAAAACTTCTAACACCCCATCTACAAAGCATGAAATTTTTTTCCATGAACAAGATGACTAAATTAATTAATAACTCATTCGTCTATATTAAAAGAACTAATAAACAAACGTCTATGAGTATAGCTAAGTAATTATATTTTATTGTGTCTGAGGCTGTTCCAAAATAACGTTTCATAATCATTGTGTGATACTTGATTGACAATGGATAACAACTAATACAGGAAAAAAGAGCCATTATTAATTTTCTTGTTATTTCTATTATCGTTGAAGAGTATTGAGTATTATTAAGGTCATACAACATTAAAGATATCATATCATGGAATATTGCTAATTCAGAATAATGTCTTTGTAAAGGCATTGAAGTTGAAATAAAATCAGTAATTTTACTAAGGTCTAATTCTATTTTATAACCATCAATGCAAGATAATACATCAACCACTCTCTGATATAAATTAGGTAATACTGAAGGCAGTTTGTCTGGAAACGTTGAAACAACTAACCATATTATTTGTTGAATATATAAATTTTTAGGTTCTTCTATTGAGATTAATGAAAAAAGAGATTCTTTTCCCTCTCCAGTCATAATATATTTTCTTGTTAGTTTTAATGATTGAATCTCTTCATCAAATAATTTTGATTTCATTGCAACTGTTTCTGAAAGAATTATTCGAGATGAGTCTGAAGGAGGTATTTTATCAATTACAGTTGAATATTTATTTATAAAACTTCTTTGTTCTTCCTCAGATAAAAATGAAATACCTTCTAGACACCTTTTTAATATTTGTTCAAAAAGAGGAGAATCTATTATATACTTCTTTATCATTTGATTAAAACAATAACTTCTTTGAGGTGATGGTGGTATCATTTCTGTATTTTTAGTATATAGAAGAACTGAAGCATTCCAATCACCCACACTCCCTCCGCAACACATTTTCCTTACTTGATCCTTACTAATAACATTAACAACTTTATCATTAAACCAATACCAATTATTGTCATAACCTAATGCAACTGTAGTGTAATGTCCATACATATAACTTCCTCTATGAAGAATTGCCCCAATAAAATGAAAACCAAACATTTCTGTTTCTATTTCAATGAAATCATCATTCTTTTTAAGTTCAGAAGTAACTCTGTTAATTGAAATTAAAAAATCATTTGTTGTTTCACTAAAAAATTTAACTTGATGTGGTCCTTTTATATGACATTCATCACATTCTAATATCATATCATCAACAGTCCCATAATATTTATTTACACTTTCAGTAATACTCTTTTCTGTTCCTACACTCAATGAATATGCATCTTCTGTTTTTTCCCTCTCTTTTTGACAATTTAAACATTTCATTTTAGTTGTTGTTTTAACTAGAAATGGGCATTGCTGTGTTTGAGTTTTATAAACATCCAAAATGTCATTGATAAATAGAGAGGCATCGTTTTGTTCTCCAATAATAATATTATGACCACAAACATTTTCAATAATCTCTTTGTTCAATACCAAATAACTCTGTTGTTCATTTAATTTCTTAAATATAGACCCAAGTAACGTAGATGAAGATAGTACATTTTTCCTAAATGAACTACACATATAAAGTAATTGAAGACTAGAATTGACATAACAAGTATTTCCAATGTTTTCTAATCCTATAAAAGGAACATTTTGATTTATAAATTCAATTGAGTCAATATTTGATGGTATTTCTATGGAATGAACTAATAACTTATTCCACTCCCATAATGGAAACATAATAAGAATACTTACATATACCTTTCTTACTTCATCAATAGAAATACAATTTTGATTAAATCCATACATCATTTCAAATATTTCTTTGTTTCTTTTTTGAAATACTTCAACTACTTCTTTATCTACCTTACAGTGGAGAAAAAATAGAAGAAGCTCAGCTAGACCAAATAATGAACTATCATAAACATTTACCTGTGAGTAAGTAAAAATTTTTTGAAATAAAACTACTTCTATTTTACCAATAAATGGATATGAAGAAATGACTTGTTTATTAACTTGACGTATATGCTCTAATAACATTGGTACATACTCACTTTTAAACTGATTGGTATCAATTAAATTAACTAAAGAATTTAACATAGGCCAAACTCTTTCTGTTTCAGAAACAGTTTGAAAATATTCATTTTCTCTTTTTCTTTGATCTATCGTATCTGTAAGAGACATAATGTAATAATTTTTTAGTTGATTTAATTTCAAGTTCTTAAAGAAGATTAGATTATTTCTTACCTTTTGATTCAAAAACTTAAAAGAAAACCAAAATAACAATTTGTTTTTACCACAATCAATGTTCACACAACATAACCATATCTAAATAAAGGTCATATTTTTGTAATAGATGCAAATGTTTCGGAAGAATAGACCATCTCTCTTGTTTCAGTACATCACTATTAAGGAAAGACAATCCATGAAAAATTTTCATCATTGTAGATAATTCTTTTTCATTAGAATCATACAAATGAATTGAATATCCACCAACACTAGACCCTTTTCCAATTAATGAAGGAAGAATAGTATAATAAGTTGCTCTTCCTTCTCCCTTTATTTCAATTGGGGGATCTAATTCATCATTAATTTTATAAAAACCTTTATTATTGTCTAATAGTTGATATTCTTCTTCTGAAACTAATACACTACCATATACATTACAACAACTAATAAAAATAGAGTCTATTAAATCTTTATACTGTTGTAGAGCAGACTCTTTTAAATCAAACATTAATTTCATTTCATCATTATCATATTCTCCAACTTTAGTAAATGTTATTTCCCAATGACTTTTTGTTGTTTGTTGAATAAAACATATCCACCTATCCCACATTTCTTGAATTGAAGTATCAAATCCCATCTCTTGTAATTCTCCAGTATAACTAATTAATGAACTTATAATTCCACATGGCTTAACTTTATATCCAATCATTATTTTATTAAAAAACACATTGTCATATTGTGGTGAAATAATAAATAATGGTTCATTTAGTAAATTACCGTTTTGAGTAAAATCAGGTAATGCCTGTGCAGCAGAATTTGGGTATTGAGTAGGTCGGTATCTTCTATAAGATGAATAAAGTGAAAAACAAACTCTGATTGAGGTTTCTCTTAAACTATCTTTTAAAATTGATTTAAGGGAAATAAAAATTGTGTTATCTCCATAATGATTACAATCTCCCTCATTTAAACGGCATTTTAATGTAATGGTTTTACACATAATTTCTTCTTCATTACTGTCTTTAGGATCATATAACACAATAATCTTTTTATCACTTATTTCCTGAGAATGATTTTTAATGACTTCAAGCATTTCTAATTCATCAAATATATTTGATACAATAATATTCTCACTGTATTTAATTAATCTACCTAAATTGAAATTTTTATAATCAAACTCTAATTCTTTGATAATAGTATGAACAATTTCTTGGTCAATACCTTCCTGTGTTATAAACAAATAATTTATTTCTTTTTGATATGAAAATGGTGCAAATTCATAATCTTCCCACAAACTTAATACATTCCATGATGTTTCTAATGTTAGCTCAACAGATTCGTTCATATGATTTCTCATTGCACCAAGAATAATCTTTGGTACTTCTAAAGGAACTGGAGTTTGTTGTGATGAAATTGGGTTAATAAATGGACTTGGTGGAATAAAAAATTCATTTAACAATTGTGAAACAAGTGTTCTTTCGACAGGGTCTAACACATCATTAGGAATAGTCAATTTACCACTATCTAATCCATCCATAATTACTTGAACTGTTCTAAGCATTTCTAATGAATCACATAAACTTTTAATAATATTGTTTGATCCAAAGTCATAAGAATAATTATTTAATTGATATGTAACAGTTGAAATAAATGAAGGAACATTAATACCTCTAAAATATTTTCTAAAAGACTCAAGGATTAAATAATCAGTGATATATATGAATGTATCATTCTTTTTTGGTGTTTCTTTAATTACAATCTCTTCATGTTGTACTTTCTTATGGTGTAAACTATGTAATCTAACTTTTCGTGGTAAGTATGATTTTTGAGGTGGAATTAAGAATTGAGGTGGATAAGGAAGACATGAAGGTTTTAAAGGTATAATAGGATAACCCTTTGGTGCTTCTATTTTACTTTTTTGATGAGAGTATGGAAATTCAATTCTTTGTCTAGAAGTTGAAGACTTTAACTCAGAAACTTTTTTTTCAATACAATTAACTAATGGAAGTGGAGAACGAGTTCTTGATAAATTTGAAGTAGATGAATCAATATTTATTATTCCTGAGAAAAAACATCCTAAACATTCAGTCGGTTTTGTTTCACAAAATGTTGAATGAGTTAATTGAGGAAGTTTTCTTAATGACTCTGATAATCGTGTAACATTAACCTTAGAATGTGGTAAATTTACTTCAAGAATAGAAGTAGGTGTTCTATATGATATTAATTTTCCAATGACATTATCTTCTAATGAGAGAACTTTTGAATCTATCTCATTACTACTAACAATGTCTAAAGGTTTAGGTAAAAGAGTGTTGTGTTGATTAAGTGGTTCCATAACAATTAATTTCTAAGTTCTTCTTGAAAAAGAAATTAAAAAAGTCGTTTCTTAATTATTACTCAGTAGAAAAATTCAAACTAAATATCAAAAAAGAAGACTCTAACGCTTCAAATAATATCTTCTTTGTAATTACAATTAAAATTTCCATGGAAGTTGAGAAGTTTGTTGTGAAGAGTCTCCCCAATGCACGAAATTTGGAGAAGGATTAGGTGATTCATGATTACCAACATTAGTTTCATTAGCTCCAGGTGTAGCATCTTCATTCATCCCTTGATTATTGTTTTGAGATGGAAAAGGAGGGTATGTTGGGGTGTCATTTGGAGAAGGCATTGGCATCATATTAAATCCAAAAGCAAGTGAACTTGGATTTGGCATAAATGTGTCTTGTAATCTTTGCATCTTTAATTCTAAAGAATCTTCTCTAAGTTTTAATTGATACAACATTTCTTTTAATGTATTAATTTGAGTAACTGTTTCTAAATTTTGTTTTTGTAATTGCATTAATTGAGACAATAATTGTTGATAAAGTAATGTGGTATTATTTTGTTTTTTTCTTTGTGACTGTGGTTTTTTTCTTTGTACATTTTTAAGTAATTCCATATGTCCTTTGATGAAATTACTATTTTGAAATCTATATTCGTTATCAAACTATATCAATTAATAATTATCTTTTTCTTATACAATGTTTTAATAAAAATGTTTTTTTTATTTCTCTTTCTCTTTTTGTTATTTTTAAACGGCTAGATGTGTAGAACGTTCAAAAAACAACGTGTAGACAAAAAGAGAATATTCAAATTTTACTTTTCTTAGAATAAAAGGATTACAAACTTTTTTAAATCCATACAATGATAATTGTCGACTAAACCCACAAAAATTTGTATGTTTATAATATTTCGGTAATACCTCTTTTGAAAATGCTACGGCATCAAGTATCTCAAATGAATGTCCTTGATCTTTTTCACACCAACGTATCTGTTTTAATTATTACTTGCCTTTTCCTTATTTTATTAACTCATTGTGAAGTAATTATAACAAACGTATTGGGCATTTTCTTTACTATCTACCATTGAATATAAAATTGACACAAATGAAACAACTGAATTCCCTCTTTGGGAATTTGGTTCTGTACCATCTAATGGAAGAGGAAGATCACAATCAAAATCGTTATTTGCTTCAGTGGCTGTTTCCATTAATTAATAATTAATTACATTAGATTGTTTTCTTATTTTTTTATTTACTTTAAATTATACTTATATTAGATATAAACTAATAATAATTATTAA